AGACTAAAATTTCGAACTGGCATCTAAATCCATCACTACTCACAAATCCTGACATCCTTGAACAAACAACTGAATCCATTAAGACTTATTTTGCTCTCAATTCCAATGATGACCCCTATCCTATTTTAACCTGGGAAGCTCATAAACGTTCTACAAGGTGAATCCATTAAATGGGGAGCAAAAGCTAAAAATGAATAGACATTTCTGATCTATCCACTACCATTGTGCATCTTAAAGTGGAGTTCCAGCCATTTTTGTGTTTATTAGAAGTTAGCATCTACAAAAACTGCAGCTGCTGACTTAATAAACACACACTTACCTGTCCCAGGGTCCAGTAATGTGCTCACCCGTGCCGTTCCTTCTCTCTACAGCACTGGCATCTCAACTGTCGGCACCAGGCTGTGACAGCTTGCAGCTTCACAGCCAGGTGGTCACTGCGCATGCGCAAGTTGTGCTGTGCATCCTTACTGGTCTGGCAATCTTCTGGGACCTGTGAAGGTTCCCAGGAGACTGTGGGAGGAAGGAGGGGGATGAACTTTCATCTTATTTAGTCACGGCAAACTGAGTGTGGAAGTGGGAGTGAGTACCTGTCAAAATCAGATACCCACTCCCCCCCCCCCCAAAAGGTGCCAAATATGGGTGGGTGGAACTCCGTTTTAAATCCCAACATAAACTCTCTTTAACTACACAGTCGGCAACTGTACATCTAGAAACTAGGAAGACACACTACAAAACATTCTAGAATCCAAGGCCAGACGCATACTTTTTTTTAAAAAATGGGTTTATTATGAACACAGTAACAAAAGTGGAAAATTTCTAGCTATGGTCCTGGAAGACTCGAATATACTGGAAAAAATCTTCAGTATAAAAAAACGTAAATGGAAGAATAGAACATACAACAGATAAAATAGCCTCACAATTCCACGACTTTTATACAAAACTTTATAATCTCCCCGCACAACACAAGCCTGCTGGGCTACAAGGCGAAAGGGAACATAATATATTTGATATATATACTTAAGAGACAGCAATATTCCCACTCTCTCAAACAAAGATGTTAGGAATTTAGAATGTTCTTTTCAGGAAGACAAAATACTGCATGCCATTAAGGAGTTAAAATTGGGCTCTTCTTTTCGTATACACTCTCATCATTCACTTAGCCCCAACAGAATATAGCATTTATTCTCTTACAGGTGCAACTACTTCAATGTAACTCCCATATTCTTAATCCGGATGCACAACACAGAACATACACGCCTTTCAAGGCTACCCTTACCCAACACTTTATACTCCCTCAACATAAGAGCTCCCTATTACAAGGGTCAGTATCCATTATTATGTATATTACCTCGTCTAATACACTCTTTATATCTGCAGATATGTAATATGCACTTGTCCTATTGTATTGTCCTACTCTGATTGCACTGTAGTCTACAACTATGACCCGTCTCCGATACGGGAGGCTGTCTGCTGTGTCTATGCTCAGACTGCGATCCGTAGTTGTATATGCCTTGATATGCCCTTTTTTCCTCTAATAAAATATTTTTTTGAAAAAAAAAAAATTGGGCAAAATTCCAGGCCCTGACGGCCAAACATCACAATATTATGAAGCCTTCTCAAAAGCCCACTTCTCCAAGTCTTTGATTCTCTAGATAAACAACAGAAAATCCCTGACTCATTTCATGGCCCACATTACAGTAATCCCAAAGGCAAATAAAGATCCAACTGAATGCTCAAATTACAGGCCAATATCCCTTCTAAATAAAAATCTAAAATGACTGGCTAAGATTCTGGCAAACTGTTTGAGACCCCTCTTAGCAAAAGTTATTGAGCCAGAGCAGGTGGGTTTCATGCCTGAAAGAGAAGCAAGTGATAACATTACCAAGGCACTCAACTTAATTTATAATTCCTGAATTGAAAAGATCAAGGGTCTTTTCCTGTCTACAGATGCAGAGAAGGCCTTCGATCCAGTGGCATGGAACTACATGTTTGCAACATGTGCCCATATAGGCCTAAGGGATAAAATGTTGTTGTGGATCTCCACTCTCTATTGATTTCCCACTGCAAAATTAAAAATTAATGGGACCTTTTCAGACACAATATACATTAAAAATGGCACTAGACAGGGATGTCCCCTTTCTCCTTTAGTTTTAATCTTAACTCTATAATCCTTTATCAGAACACTAAACAAAAACAAATCAATACATGGGTTTCCAGCAGCAAGGCGATATTTTAAGACACATGCTCATGCAGGTGAACTATTGTTTTTTCTAACAAATCCTCATACATCCATCCCCAACCTAATAGACGATCACAATGACAACAAAGCTGTTATGAATCAATCTGATTCATAACAACTCTGCTTCTCTTCCTGGTGAGCTGTGATTGGCCCACAGCTCTCACATGATACATGGGGCCAATCACAGCACCTTGTACCATGAGACCAGCTGGAGCCAATTACAGATCACTGTACAGATCACTGTATTTTGACCTGTCATGAACATAATCCATTCATGACAGTTCAAAGCAAATATTACATTGCAGGTGCAATGAGCTTTGTTGCTATGTTACGTTTGGTATCCATTTACTCAGCGTAACATCATCTTTCATATTTTATCAAAGAATTGGGTAACATATTGTGCTTTTTTGCATTAAAGTTCTAAAAAGGTTTTTTTTCACCAAAAAAATTGTGTTTGAAAAATTGCTGCACAGATACTGTGTGACAGAAAAATTTTCAACACCCACCATTTTATTCTTTCGGGCATCGGCTTTAAAAAAAATATATAATGCTTGGAGGTTCAAAATAGTTTTCTAGCAAAAAAAACCAGTTTTTTCATGTAAACAAAAAGTGTCAGAAAAGCCTTCGTCTTCAAGTGGCTAGAAGAGTGAGTAATGCATTAAATAAGCTTCTATTGTTGGCCCTGGATAGTAGAAGCACCCCCCCAAATGATCCCTTTTTGGAGATTAGACACTCCAAGGTATTTGCTAAGGGGCATGGTGAGTATTTTGCAGATCTCATTTGCTACCACAAGTTTTTGGAACATGAAGAAAGAAAACGAAAATGTATTTTTTCTTTTCTTTTATTCTTTTTCAAAACCTTCTGACAAAAATTATATCTTCAAAATACTCACCATGCATCTTAAATTCTTTGGGTTGCCTATTTCCTAAAAAGGGGTAATTTGGGGGGCGTTTGTACTATCCTGGCATTTTAGGGCCTCCGAAACTGTGATAGGTAGTGAGGAAGTGATATGAGAGAATATGCCCTTTGAAAGCATGAAGGTGGTCATTGGATTTTTGGGGCCTGTATGTAGCTAGGCTGCCAAAAAGTCTCTCACATGTGGTATCTTTATACTCGGGAGAAGTAGCAGAATGTGTTTTGGAGTTTTTGATTTAGGTCAGGTGAGCGTGGGGGCCATTCAATAGTATCAATTCCTTCATCCTTCAGGAACTGCCTGCATACTCTCACCACATGACGCGGGGCATTGTCGTGCATCAGGAGGAATCCATGACCCACTGCACCAGTGTAGGGTCTGACAATGGGTCCAAGAATTTCATCCCAATACCTAATGGCATTCAGAGTGCCATTGTCTAGCCTGTAGAGGTCTGTGCATCCCTCCATGAATATGCCTCCCCAGACCATCACTGACCCACCACCAAAATGGTCCTACTGAACAAACTTATAGGCAGGATAATGTTCTCCATGGCTTCTCCAGACCCTTTCACATCTATCACATTTGCTCAGGGTAAACCTGAAAAGCACAGGGTGCCAGTGGTGGACCTTCCAATTCTGATGTTCAATGTCAAATGCCAATTGAGCTCTATAGTGCCAGGCCATGAGAACAGGGTCCACTAGAGGGTCTCCCTCAGATCACTGTCTGTTTATGATTGTTTGGTCAGAGACATTCACACCAGTGGCCTGCTGGAGGTCATTTTGTGGGGCTCTGGTAGTGCTCATTCCTCCTTGCATAAAGGAGCAGGTACTGGTCCTGCTGATAGTTTAAGGACCTTCTATGGCCCTGTCCAGCTCCTTGAGTAACTGTCTGTCTCCTGGAATCTCTATATTTCTCTTATTTTTTTTTTTTTATTTAAATATTTATTAATTTTTCATGCTATTACAAATATCCATAAAGGGAGACACAACACATATAAATAAATATTCATAACATATCTACATTTCCCCTTCTAAAAACTCTTTTCTTTCCCGACCCTCCCAACCCATTCCCACCCCCCCCCCCCCCTCCCCTCTGCAAGCTCTCCCCCACTCTAATCTCTCGAGGCCTACTGACTTTAGGTAACGTCCTAGTTTATAGTTTTCTATATTTCTCTTTCAGTCCTGATTTTTCCCATTTTTCCCATCTCATATAATATACTCCCATCCTGTCTTCCTGCATATGGTAAGATTTTTCCATTCTACCAATCTGGTTTACTCTATTGATCCAGTCTTCCTCCTTCGGCACCTCTGTTTTCTGCCAAAACTTGGGTATCAAACCTTTTGCTGCGTTTAAGTAGTACCATACGCCTATATATAGATCTCCTATATGCTCTTGAGACTGTGCTGGGAGACACAGAAAACCTTCCAGCAATGGCAATGTGCCATCCTGGAAGAGTTGGACTACCTGTGCAACCTTTGTAGGATCCAGGTATCGCTTCATGCTACCTGTAGTGACACTGACCCTAGCCAAATGCAAAACTAGTGAAAAACAGTAAGAAAAAATGAGTAGGGAAAAAAGGCAGTGGCCTCCACCTGTAAAACCATTTGTGTTTTGGGGGTCATTTCTAATTAACAACCCCATCTACTACTTAACTGACCAGATCAATATCCCAGGAGTTTAATTGACTCAATTCTATATTCTGATTAACCACCTTCCGCCCGCCCTATAGTACAATGACGGGTGCAAGGTGGTTCTCTCGTTCTGATAGGACGTCAAATGACGTCCTACCATTCTCACTGCGCATGCGCAGCTCAGGGAACGCGCAGCGCGGCAATTACCGGTCCGCTGTGCCCCTCGGACACAGCGGATCACGGAAAGAGCCGAAGATGTAGGCTCAGTCATGTGATCAGCTGTGTCCCATCACAGCTGATCACATGTAAACACGGAAATGCCGGTTATCTGCATTTCTCTCCTCTCTAGCTGTCACGCTGACAGCTCGAGAGGAGAGCCGGTAATCGGCTTTCGGCGGAGGGGACATGTACACTGATCATCAGGGCACTGATGATCAGTGTGCCCTGATGATCAGTGTGGCCCCAGAAGTGCCACCTGTCAATGCTCATCAGTGCCAGTGCCCATCAGTGCCATGTGCCAGTGCCCATCAGTGCCACATCAATGCCACATATCAGTGCATACGAGTGCACATCAATGCCACATATCAGTGCCCATCTGAGCTGCCTTTCAATGTCACCCATCAGTGCCAGTCAGTGCCACCCATCAATGCCAATCAGTGCCACCTATCAGTGCTGCCAATCAGCGCCACCTATCAGTGCCAGTCAGTGTCGCCTATCAGTGCCAGTCAGTGCTGCCTATCAGTGCCAGTCAGTGCCGCCTAACAGTGCCAGTTAGTGCTGCTTAACAGTGCCAGTCAGTGCCACCTATCAGTGCCAGTCAGTGCTGCCTATCAGTGACACCTATCGGTGCCATATATCAGTGTCATGTATTAGTGTCATGTATCAGTGCTGCCTTTCAGTGCCCATCAGTGATGCCTGTCAATACCCATCAGTACAACCTACCAGTGCCTCCTCATCAGTGCCCATCAGTGCCACCTATCAGTGTCCATCAGTGCAGCCTATCAGTGCCCATCACTGCATCCTCATTAGCTCACATCAATGAAGGAGAAAAATCACTTATTTACAAAATGGTATAACAAAAACTAAGAAAAAACTTTTTTTTCAAAATTTTCAGTGGTTTATGGTTTGTTTAAGAAAAAATAAAAATCCCAGAGGTGAGTAAATACCACCAAAAGAAATCTCTATCTGTCTCAAAGAAATGATAAAAATTTCATATGGGTACAATGTTGCATGACCGAGCAATTGTCATTCAAAGTATGACAGTGCTGAAAGCTGGAAATTGGCCTGGGCCGGAAGGGGGTATAAGTGCCCTGTAGGCTAGTGGTTAAAAAGTGTTACTTTATTTTTTTGAGCAGTGCATCATTTAAGTGACAACTTATTGACATTTTCCCAAAAAATTGTGGCAAAAAATAAAATCTTCCATGGACGCAACATGCCTCTCAGCAAATTCCTTGGAGTGTCTACTTTCCAAAAAGGGGTCATTTGGTAGGAGGGGGGTGTTTGTACTGCTCTGGCATTTTAGCACTTCAAGAGGTGTGATAGACAGTCACAATTTGAGTAACTGATATACCATAGTTTGAGATGCTATAACTTTCACACAAACAAATTGATATACACATACACTTCAAGAGGTGTGATAGACAGTCACAATTTGCGTAACTGATATACCATAGTTTGAGACGCTATAACTTTCACACAAACAAATTGATATACACATATTGGGATTTTTTTACCAAAGACATGTAGCAGAATACAATTTGGCCTAAATTTATCACTAACTTTGAGTTTACTGGATATTTTTTATAACTGAAAGTAGAAAATATTGGGTTTTTTTTTTTTAAATGTTGATATCACAAAAAATAAAAAACCCAGTTATGGTCAAATACCACCAAAACAAATCTCTATTTGTGTGGAAAAAAAGGACATAAATTTAGTTTCTGTTTTGTGTTTCACGCAAGTACCAGTTGAAATAGCGCAGTGCTGAATAGCAAAAAAATAGCCTGGTCATTAAGAGGGTAAATCTTCGGGAGGGCAAGTTGTTAATTATTACATTTTGGAAGTAGGTGTGTGATCTCATTTTGAAAATCACTGAGACAACCCTGTAGCTTGATGCTACTTGTTGCTTAATACACATTTGTTCTCAATCTCTCCACCGATACAAATGTTCTCTGGTAAAATAAATGCTAAATGCAGCCGAAGCCTATATTCCTAGGCTCTGGAAAAGCACTTCTGTTCCTCAATCAATGAATGGCTTTGTAAAACTGACCATATCCATTCTATGGAGGAGACCATAGCAATGTCAAATGATAGCTTGACTCAATATTATAAAACTTGGAACGTCTGGTTTATCCTTACTTTTTCTGATGAATATAAACTTTTAGTGGGTACTTGAAGCAATACTCATTGAAAGCATTATTAACGATATGGCATTAACCCTCAGCTCTTCTTTCATATATGTGCAGATGACTTTAATGTATATTCTATATCGTACTCTCATATCAGTCATTGAGATTTAATGTTGCCATATTATTTTAACTTATAGACTTGTCCATTTAAATACTCCACCCTCCCCCCATCCTTTTTTTTCTTTTCTCTTATGACTTACCTAAGCTAAAATTTTATTTCAATATACAATGCAATAGCATTTGGTTCCAGACACTTATATCATTTTATGATATAAAATGTACTCTGTTACAAGTATTATAAGATTGTATTTCTTTGGATGACCTCATCCACCTTTTTTCCTTGTATTTTCTTTTGAATACTGTGATCTATGTCACTTCCTTCACTACAAAAGCACAATAAAAATGTTACTGTATAAAAAATAAATAAATAAAAATATTGTTGTATTTTGGTTAATACTAATAGCAAAATCAAAGAATACTTCTTTACTGCACTCATATCAGATCCAATAACCTTGCAATTGTAGTAAAAAAAATACTATTTTTATATTAAGAAATAATTGGATTTAAAGTGATATGTGTTCATATTAGTTAACTTGAAAAGAAAAAAAATTTATTAGCAACTTTAACCTGACTTAGTCTCCATTACTGTGAAATACAAAACTATTTTATTAATTAATGAACTTCATTTATTAAGGCCTTTGGAAGAAGTTGGGATAGGCTAATTGAAGCTATACATTTATCAATACCTCTCCTCTTTAATCACGCACTTATAGTATTTATATTATAATCGTACACACACACAGTAATATATATATATATACTGTATGGGTACTCTGTAAAAGTTTTAGGCAGGTGTGGAGAAATGCTTTAAAGTAAGAATGCTTTTAAAAATACCGTATTTTTCACTCCATAAGACGCACCTGACCATAATACGCACCTAGGTTTTAGAGGCGGAAAAATAGAGAAAAAATATTCTGAACCAATGGACTGCAGACATAGTACAGGAAATGACCAGAGACTGCAAACATAGTACAGGAGATGACCAGAGACTGCGGACAGTACAGGAGATGACCAGAGATTGCGGACATACTACAGGGGATGACCAGAAACTGCGGACATAGTAAAGGGGATGACCAGAGACTGCGGACACAGTACAGGAGATGACCAGAGACTGCGGACACAGTACAGGAGATGACCAGAGACTGCGGACATACTACATCATATAAAGTCCCAACAGGGCCCCTCCACCCAGAATATCAAATTATCTGACACCATACATCAAGGAAAAGGACTGCAACACCCAGCATCTGTCATTTTTAACGTACAGAAGGCAGGATATAGAAGGCAGGGAGCGCACTGAGCTCCGAGAACAGGCCACACCAGCAGATAGGACCAGACTGCAGAGCAGGGAGCGTAATATGGTCATATGCCAGGAAAGGGGAGGAGCTGTAAGGACAGGCCACACCTGCAGACCGGACCGGACTGCAGAGCAGGGAGCGCAGTACATAGATATGCCAGGAGTGGGGAGGAGCTCCGAGGACAGGCCACGCCTGCAGGGCGGACCGGACTGCAGAGCAAGCTGGCTGGGTTCGGCGAGGGGACTGCCTGCTATGAAGAGCTGCGGGGACAGCCCGCTGAGAGAAGGGGATAAGGTAGCGTGAACTTCGGTGACAGCCTGCAGTGGGAGGGGACAGGCTGCAGTGGGTTGGGACAGTCGCTGGTCCTAACACGGCGGCGGTGAGAGGGGAAAACTGGTCAGTATTCGCTCCATAAGACGCACAGACATTTTCCCCCATATTTTTTGGGGAAAAAAGTGCGTCTTATGGAGCGAAAAATACGGTATATGTTTTAATTGTTTATTTTTTATCAATTTACAAAATGCAAAGTGAGATAACAGGAGAGAAATCTAAATCAAATAAATAGTTGTGTCTACCCTTTGGCTTCAAATCACCATCAATTCTTACACTTGCACACTTTGTACACTTGCTCAAAGTCAGTGATTTTGTAGTATTAGAGTCATGTATATGCTTAACCATTCATATCAAGCAGGTGCTAATGATCATCAATTTCATATGTAGGTTGAAACACAGTCATTAAATGAACCAGAAACAGCTGTGTAGGAGGATTAAAACTGGATGAGGAACAGCCAAGCTCTGCTACCAAGATGAGATTGAGGAAGACAGTTTATTGTCACAGGTCATACACCATGGCAAGACAACAAAACACAAGATAGTTATACTGCATCAGCAAGGTATCTCCCTGGCAAAGATTGCAAAGCAGACTGGGGTTTCAAGATGTTCTGTTCAAGATCTTTTAATGAAGGACAAAGAAACTGTCAACACTGCCAAGGAAACTTAATGCAGCAGATGAAATACACATCATGCTTACTTCCCTTCAAAATCAGATGTCTAGCAGTACCATCAGCACAGAACTGGTGGAAACCAGTTGGACAGAGGTACTCCCGTCTACAGTACTGTGCGGAGAAGTCTGGCCAGAGGTGGTCTTCATGGAAGAATTGTGGCCAAACAGCCATACTTCCGACGTGGTGGAAACTGAACAACTCCACTATGCATGGAAACATAAAAACTGGGATGCAGTAAAATGGCACCAGGTGTTCTGGACTGATAAGTAAAAATTATAAATATTTATTTGGTTGTAGCAGGCGGTAGTTTGTTCACTGAAGAGCTGGAGAGTGGTACAATAATGAGTGTCTTCGGGCAACAGTGAAACATGATGAAGGTTCCTTGCAAGTTTGCGGCTGCATTTCTGCAAATGGAGTTGGTGATCTGGTCAGGATCAATGGGGTTCTTAATACTGAGAAGTACAGGTGGATACTTATCCCCATGCCATACAATCAGGCTGGCATGTGATTGACCCCACATTTATTCTGTAGCAGAAAAACAACCCCAAACATACAACCAATGTCATTAAGAACTATCTTCAGCATAAAGAAAAACAAGGAGTCCTGGAAGTGATGGTGTGGCCCCCACAGAGCCCTAATCTCAACATCATCAAGTCTGTCTGGGGTTACATTAAGCAACAGAAGGATTTAGGGTGGCCTACATCCACAGAAGATCTGTGATTAGTTCTCTAAGATGTTTTGAACAACCTACCTGCCGAAGTCTTTCAAAAACTGTGTGCAAATGTATCTAGAATAATTGCTGCTTTTTTGAAGGCAATGACTGGTCACACCAAATTTTGTTCATTTTCTTTCCATTTTGATAATTGATAAAAATAACCTATTAACACTTTTCTTTCTAAAAGCATTCCTAATCTGCAGCATTTTCGCACACTTGCTTAACACTTTTGCACAGTACTGTATATGTATATATATGTAAATTTAGCACCCTTTTACATTTTTAATTATGTATTATTTTGCTAGTACAGTATGCCTGATGAATTGCATTACAATGCACCAAAAAACAGCGGTTATTTGACTTATGTGCAGCGGTGGACTGACAACTCGTGGGGCCCCTGGGCAAGAGGGGACTCATGGGGCCCCTATGTCCTTGCCCACACTGAAACCACACCCAAAAAAGCCAATGAAAGGTACCAGGGGCATCTTATGGGGCCTCCTACTGACCCTGGGCCCTCGGGCAGTGCCTGAGTTCCGAAATGGTCAGTCCGCCCCTGCTTATTGCGTATGCTACAGCTTTTTTTATGCTAGCCTATATTCTGTTTAAGATATGGAAATTGCACCTCCTTACTGTGTACTGTAGCAAACATTATAGGCTTTCTCAGAGCTCCAGAATGTGATGCCTGCACACTTTTAAACCCTATGCTTAGTACCAGTCAGGAGTTTTTTTCACCAGCTGTTCAACTTCGGGAATATTTTTTTGCAAAATGGCATATTTCTATAAAAAGACAAAACAGGATGCCCATTGGTTTGACTTTATTCTTTCAAAGGAACATTTCTAAATCTCCCATATGGGATGGAAGAAAGAAGTTAAAGTTATATTGAAATTATTCTTGCTGATGTTTTAAATCACTGATATAATTGTTACACATACATACAGGGCATGCAATCAAGCATACTTGTTTATTCAGTTCACAGATCCAGTTTTTTTTAGCCTTATAGAATTGGACATAATTTGTCTTTTTTCAGGACTCCATGTTATGCGGTTTACTTCATCAATGTACTGTTCATTTCCTGACTCCAGAAACATGTGGAAAAAAAACAGACATTTCCTAAAGACAAACTTTATTTGTTTTAAGGTTATGGGCGTTTATCAATTTTCTATCTGTTTTTAAACAACTGTATAGTAAATGCAATGTTTTTATAGAGAAATATTTAATACAAGACAAGATTTTTTTCTAAAATTTCTAGAGGATTATGGATCTATTTATGGACACAGAACAGCAGTTGTTATCCCCTTTAACCACTTCCATACCGGGCACTTTTAGCCCCTTCCTGCCTAGGCTAATTTTCAGCTTTCAGTGCTAATGCACTTTGATTGACAATTGCATGGTCATGCAACACTGTACCCATATGAAATTTTTATAATTTTTTCACACAAATAGAGCTTTCTTTTGATGGTAATTAATCACCCAGTTTTTCTTTTGCACAATTAACGATTAAAAATGAACATTTTGATAAAAAAAAGTTTTCTTTGTTTCTACTGTAAAATTTTGCAAATAAGTAATTTTTCTTCATAAATTTAGTCCAAAATTTATATTGCTACATTTCTTTGGTAAAAATAACCCAAATCTGTGTATATTATTTAGTCTGCGTGAAAGTTATAGAGTCTACAAGCTATGGCACCAATCACTGAAAATTGATCACACCTGATCAAACCTGACGCACTGAGGGCTTCTTTCATTTCTTGAGGCCATAACATGCTAACAAAAGTACAAATAGCCCCAAATGACCCCCTTTTGGAGTAGAATTTCCAAGTCATTTAGTAAGAGACATGGTGAATTTTTTGAAGTTGTAATTTTTTTCCCACAATTCTTTGGAAAATGAAGAAATTATTATTATTATTAATTTTTTTTCACACATAATTGTCACATTAACAAGTTATTTCTCACACTTGGCATAGGAATACTTGCAATTGCACCCCACATCCAAGTAGTCAGTAGTTTCCTGACTACCTTTCACAGTTTTGAAAGCCCTGGAGCACCAGGACAATGGAAACACCCACAGAATGACCTCATTTTTGAATGCAAACATCCCAAGGTATATTTTATCAGGCATAATTAGTCTTTTAAACATGTCATTTTTTTCCAAAAGTTTTTAGAAAATGTGCAAAGAATAATGAAAACAAGAAATAAGACCCAAAATGCATTCTGTTACTCCTGAGTATGGCGATACCACATGTGTGAGACTTTTCCACAGCTTGGCCACATAATAGGGCCTAACATCCAAGTAGCACCTTCAGGCATTCTAGAGGCATAAAAGGGGCATAAATTACACATCTAATTTCCTGACTATCTATCACAGATTTGAAGGCCCCAGGCAGCAGGACAATGGAAACACCCACAAAATGACCACATTTTGGAAAGAAAACACTCCAGCGTATATTCTATGAGTTGTAATAAATCTTTTGAACATGTCATTTTTTTTCATACGTTTTTGTAAAATGTGGAAAGAAAATGAAAATGTTTTTTTTAAACAAAGTTGTCAATTTATAGGATATTTCTTCTATACTCAAAAATACATTTTGCTACTCCTCCTGAACATGACAATACCACATTTGAGACTTTTTCACAGCCTAGCTGAAGAAAGGATAAACAAAAGATTGCCTGTAGTTTTAGTAGAGCAGTTGTCCACAGAGGAAAGCATTGGACCAGGAAGCAGGCAACAGCCACAGCAATCATGCAGGCAGCAGACAAGAATATGGTGGATAAACAGGCTAGGGTCAGAACAGGCAGCAGGCTGACATCCAGGCAGCAGGCAGAAACATGGTCCATAAAATGTCTTGGGTCAGTACAGACAGCAAGAGGAGATATGGTCAGCACAGCCAAAGTACTGGTCCAGGCAATAGGCAGGAACATGGTCCATAAAAAGTCCTGGGTCAATACAAGCAAGCAGGCAGAGATATGATCAGCATAGCCAAAATATTGGTCCAGGCAGCAGGCAGAAACATCAGGCTTAGGGCCTGGGCCAGGTAGGACCAGGAAACAGGGGTAGAGGCTTCGTCCCACCCAATCTCTTCAAAGCCTCTGGACAAACAGACCCTGTTCCGGGAATTGCAAAACCTGAAGAAAACCAAAAACTGTTTTTCTCTATTCAGAACTCTACTCTGAAGCCCCTCACATATGTGAGACCCCTTTGTTATATTGAATTCCACTACTACATTAGCAGGGCAAAAGATCAATCCAAGAGGCAGGTAAAAAACATTATCGATTTAACAGGCCAAGGTCAATCCAGGTGGAAGGCAGAAATGTGCTTTAGAAACAATCCAGACGGCAGGCAGAGACATTGACGATAAACAGGCTAGGGTCAGTTAAGGTGGAAGGCAGAGGCATGGTCAATCAAGGCAGCAGGCAAAAGATCAGCACAGATAATAAAAATGGGGAAATTGCAG